CGACCCGGGCCTCGTTCGGCGAGATGGGGGGAGACAGCGGACGCCGGGGTCTTGCCCTCGGCCTGTCCCCAGAAGGCCGTTGCCCCCGCCCCCCCCCAAGCCTCAGGACCCGGAGACCCAGCGCTACCCGAGGCTACTGGTGGTAACGGCTTGCCCAGGCACTTTCTTGGGCTGCCTCCCCCGGCTTCCTCCCGCTGCCCTTTCCAGCCTCTTCTCCACCAGCGCCCATCCCGAGAGCCGCGGGGCCTCTGGAGGCGACCCTCCGGGGCTGATTTCCTCAGTCCCCGACTGGGTAAAGGGAACCAGCTTCAGGCTGGCTCTGGGTGGCTCCAGCGCATGGATCCTGATTGTTTGATCTGAACTCGGCCACCCACAAGCAGACTAGGACACCTTGGGGCGGTAGGGGAGACCTCTCTGCAGCGATTCTGGGGATGGGAGACAGGGCTGGGGTGGAGCATGGATGCAGCCCAATATGAAGGTGACTGGTCACTGTCTGGAAGCAGACGCAGGGGCCCTCGCTTGGGGATGCACTCCTGGTGCCGGATGAGGCCACTGGGTCAGTGGGTGTTCACTGCCACTCATAGCTGGCTGCTGGTACCAAGGCAGTTGCACCATCAGGAATTCCAGCAGGTGTGTGGACCTGTTGTGCACCTGGGATTAAATTAGATTTCGTTCTTCAGACTGTGGGGTTTCCTGAGTGCAAGGCCTGACTCTCCACTAAGGAAATCTGTTGGGCCGCCTCCAGAGAAGTCAGTCCCCCAAACCGACACGCTCCCAGGGTAAGACCTCGGGTCCCTGTTTGTGACACTCGCCTCACACCACCTATGGGTGTGGGTGTGCATTTCCTTCTGCCAAGACACTTGTGAGTTCTGTTACCACCTGCCTCTCCCTCCATTCTACTACTCCTGTGTGTAGAACAAATAGATTGTGTGTGCAGATGTCACTTAAATAGCCCTCAGGTGTAAACACGTAGAAGGTGGGAGTCAAAAGTGACCCTCCACCCTGTGAGGTGGGGCCACCCCGGCTGGGAGTGAGCCACAGCCAGGCAGAGATGGACTCCCACCACACATGGGCAGTCCGTGTGCACCTTCAAGGGGTGTACTTTCACCAATGTACGTACACACAGCTGCCATTCTGTTTGTAAAATAGAATGGACATATTAGATATAAAGCATCGAGAACATATTTACACACCTAACAGAAATAAAAGGCAAATGGGGTCCTTATAAGTCCCTCTGCCCTTCCCCATGGAATGATGGGGAGGTTATTACAGGCCTGAAATGCTCAGGACGTCATTTACTACTAATCTCTCCTAGCCAGGGCCACATGCGTCACTCGCAGCCCCGCCATGGCTCAGGGCTCTGATCAATAAGGCAGGTCTGGCACTGGTGAAGGAAAGTCCAAGGTGCCTTGGCCCCAGAACGGGTGTCCCTGCCCTCCAGTACGTTTTGCCCTTGACCTCTGAGAACACATCCTTCGAAAGTACCTTGGAAGGAAGCCACTAAAGGGTGGACGGGAGGCGTCTGCCCTTGCAGCCCTGAGTGGATCTTGGGGTGAGGTCTCCCCCAGAAAGAGCCGCACTCCCCCTGGGTCCTTTCTGCTTCCTTTCCGTTTTGCACTCCCACAGGAGGGCCTGCCCCACAGGAGTAGACCTGTTGAGGGAGTCCTTCGGCACAGGGCATAGGAGAAGAGCTTGGACATCAGAGTTAAGCAAAGTTGGTTTGGATTCCTGGCCTCACAACCCTTTAAACCTGCACCAGTTTCTTTGTCTCTCTTTGCTTGCGTCCTCGTCTATACAAAGGGACCCATGGCCCTCACTTTAAAGGGCTAGCTGAGATCAGAGATGAAGTCTGTAAAGGTGCCAACACAGAGCAGGGTCAAATATTTATTGGAGGAAGGAAGGGTGAAGCTCTGAGATGACCCACAAACCACTTTGGTGGGTGGGGCGGTGGATCTTGGTTGTCAGAGGTCTCTCCCAACTCACCCTTCCCCCACTCCTTCTGGCCCTGGGCCCACGGACAGGGCAGTGTTGGGAGGTGAACACCCTAGGGGCCAAGAACCCCCACCCCCCACGCAAAGGAAAATCAGCACCACTTTGCAGACCACACAGTGCTGCCCTGCCCAGACTCCTTGGTGGGACCCTTCCTGGGCCAATGACCCGAGCTTTTGGCTGCCTCTGCAAACACAGGGTAGGGAGCCAGAGAGACGGAACACACTGACGACCCTGCTTCAGAATGAAGGCTGCTTCATGCCAGACACAAACAGCTACGGAGAAGACTGGCGGGGGTGCACGACTGACACCCTAGCACCACGGACACAGCAAGGCTTTCACTCGGACTACCAGGTCAGGAAGGCCACCTCACCTCCGCGCGCACAGCCCCTTGGCCAAGGCACGAGGAATCCTTTTGTTTTGTGTTTGGAAAGGGCAACCGCGGGCAGGTGGCAACCAAGGGAACCGGCAGCCGGTGAGCCACGGCTCCGCCGGCACAGTGCAGGGCCATGCACGGGCCTTTTCGGTGGAGCCGGGATCCCCGCTGGCAGAAGAGGTGGACAATTCTGATTCCAAACTCCCTGCAGCCCCGCAATCCACGCTCGCGCCCTCACGCTCCGACCTGCCCCCGTGTTTCCCAAATTGACCCGGACGGGAATTCACCGACCGATCTTGATAGAGCCTGGAATGTCTGTCCATCCGTGTCACCCGACCCAGCCACTTGGACGCCAGTGCATGGCGCCGGTCCCTGGTCGTCCAAAGCGGCCCCCGCGGGTCCCGAAGCCCCATGCAAGACGCACCCTCCGCACCCCTCGTTCTGAGAGCGGGAGGCCGGAGCGACTGCAGGACGCGTGAAGGCCCGGCCTCTGGCTCGGGCGGGGCGACTCTTACCGTGGGGCGTGGGGTGGACCTTCGTGGGGCCCGGCCCCGTGGGGGGTCCCCCGGCGGCCGGCCCCG